GTTACCTTAAAAGGAATGTTACTTTAAACTTAGTGAAATAATGAAGTATTGTATAATGTATACAAAAAGGTAAATCATGGATGCAGAATTTATTTTGAAAGATGACAAAAAACTTTGTCAACTAAAAGGTTCATGCTTTATCCATGAACTTCAAATAAGACCAAAAAAAGCCTTTGTCTTCTTAGAACTATTAATTACAGATTTTGAATGTTATAACAATGCTAAGAACTTATATAATCTTAAAATATTTAAATCAGTGATGGCATATTGCATCCTAAAATGTTTCAGTAATTAAGGCTTTAAAATTTTTGTTACAACAGTCTTCCCTACCTAAAATTAAAACCTGGTCTCTTACAAATAGTTGTATTTATTTCAACAAAGAATATTTTAAAAATTTATTCAGCATATTCTCTATTTCGAATAAAAATGGTTAAGAAATGTCATAAATCCACCATGAATCAAAAATATGAGATGAGACTCTGGGAATGTAGAGAATGATGGTTTAGAAGTATTTCAGAATACTGATACTTTTCCAATAATATAATGTTCATGTACTCATCTGTAACAGCTCTCCTTATACACAGTAATGATTTATAATGTAGCTGCTCCCAAATATAAAGTATTCTATAATCTATAATATGAAAGATGGAATATGTAATGTGTATGTATATTATATATATTATATATTTGAATATATAGTATACATTGTAAATGCATAGTATAAATTCATTATATACAGGTGTAGTTGCATATAAGCATGTTATATTCTATAACTAAATAACATTATATTATACATTATCTGTATAATAAACAATGTCTATATTGTACATTTTATTAGGGAGCCATATACTCCCTGCCTCCAGCAAAGAACAACTGTGTGAAAAGAGATAAGTTGCAAAGAATATAGTTTGCGTATATCAACGCTTACTCAGAGAAGCCAAAATAAAATCTATTTTTCAAAGCATACATGAAACAGACAGGAACATGTCTTTAAAGTCCTTACTGGAAAACACCACTTACAAAATACCAAAACAGCAAGGAAAAGTAGCAAAATTTTGTACAACCATCTGTATTCCATATTGGGTACTGATTCTCTGATGGAGTTGGCAAACGCTCCATCGAATGTGATTGGAGCCCTGAGTTTTCACGAGAACAAGCCCTATTTTTCTCAGTGCAATCAGTACCCTAGCACCTAGCATGCAGTATAGGAGAAGAGAAGACACAGGAGTTAAGAGTTAGGTGGTAAAGTCGGAATATCTCGTTTGGCTCTCAGCTCTATGATGACCTGCCTACCACCAAGTAATTTGTCTAGTCTCTTTGTACCTCAGTTTTTAACCTGCAAATGGTATCTATGTATATTGACCATAACACATTATAGTATTTGTGCCAGACATTTCTAATTATTTTTCATTTATACACATTTATTCATTTAGTCCTACTTCAATATTGATGAGATAGAAATTAATATGTCAATTAAGAAAGGAGGAAACAAAGACTCAGTGAAATCAGTAACATGCACAAGGACACAGCCAGTAAGTGGCTTAGAGTTCATGTTCCTAACAATGTCTAACAACAAGCATCCTTGAGCTTACATGTGTTAAGGCTGAGTACAATGACTGGCACAGAGTATGTATATGTTCAATAACTAATATCTACTGAAATAAGTATATGTCAAATATTTGCAAATTTCTGAGATTTCACCAGGCCCAGTAAGAATGACTTTGGGGTAGATCAACTGGTGATCTTTTATAAAAGTGGAATATGTGAGTAATGACACCTTTGTCACAGGTTACTGTTCTTCTGTCATTTAAAGCAAAGAACTCTGATGTCTGACTGCCTCAAGTATTCCCTTCTCCATTTCAGGGTGGCTGGGACCCTATGTCAGGCTGTTATTAACTGATACAGGTTTACCACCTTCACTCCTTCCTGTGCTAATCCACAACCCACCCAACTGCCAAAATATTCTTCCAGAAATGCGCTTTCATTGCTTACTCCCTTTTCAAGGAACTTACCCTGAATTCACAACAATGTCAAGTCAAAATTCTATCTCTGACTTTCAAAGACCTTTATTAGACATGGAAGGGACATACTCTTTCTCTCATTCAAGTGCATAAGTGCTTACTTATCATATAAATACTTGATGAGAATGGTCATATTTCATCACATAGAGAATAGTGATATTTGTGCTACTTAAAACAGTGATAAGCAATTTTTTATCTTATTTTGGATATAGCTCAGTAGAAAAAACATAAATATGTGATATGTTTATTTTTATTCAGAATGATGCAAGTTTAATTGGAGAAGGACATAAAAGGAAGAATATTAAAGAGAATAATTGTATTACTGATATTCACTATAATGTTAACATTACAACATATATAGGTGCATATGCAACATAATAGCAACAACATCAAATCAATTTTATTTGTATAATCCCTTGCAATATCTAGACGGGATGGCACCCCCGTTGTCAATCCTTTAATAAGTAGATTAAATTTCCAAATTTGTGAATCTTGTTTTTTAACACAGGATTGCACGAGAATTTGATGTGATTTGCTTAGAAGGGTCTGACAAAAGCCACATCTAACTGTATCCACATCCAGATCATTCCTGAACTGAACATTCTGATGTCAACTCAGGATTTCTAAATGTAAACTTGTGCACTCAACCAGACAACTCACATGTCAGATAGCTGGAACAAGCAAATCAAATCTATACACAATATATACATGCATACCTATGTGTATGTGTGCACATATATACATGTACACATATATACACACACACACACACACAGTCTTTTGTTTGGCTTTGCTTTGTTTGAGGGATTGCTACCATTTGTTCAGTTGAAGAAATTGATCCTTCTAGTTAAGCATATCAATGGGGCTTCAATTTGATGGATTTTTTGGTGATTAATATAAAATAATGGCTCATCAGCACTAGAAGAGGTGATGTAGCCAGGAAGGAAAGACAAAAACATTCTGGAATTATTATTCATTTAGTGATTTTTTTTTTTTTTGGAGCAGCTGCAGTTCATCAGCCTTGGGGGCAGAAATAAAGGCTTTATTTCTAAAGGCTTTAATAAAGGCTCATTTCTCATGATTTCAATTGAAGTTACTTACACATCTTTCACAGGGTTGAGAAAAAAAATGCTAGCACTAGAGAATTAAATAACTGAGAAATAAAAATGTATATAATTGCTAATGTATCCTCGAAGACACCTTGCATTTCCTGGGTACATTCCACACATTTCCTCTCTAAACTTCGTATCTTGAGCAATAATTACCAGGCTTTTTTTTTTTCTGTAAAATTCAGTCTCTAGGTAGATTGTAGCTGCAAGTGTATGTGAGAAGAAACCTTCAAAGAGGAATATGATCAAACTGTGAGCTGAAAGTTATAAAGAACTATTATTAACAAATCTTTAGGCATTTTTACTAGTCCTTCTCAGAAGTCAACTAGTAGTTGTTTAATTCTCTAATGCTAGGGGCAAATTTCTCTATGGAGGACACTCTCAAGACAAGGGTGCCCCCTCCAAGGCCTCTCACTAGCAATAAAAGTTCTATGAAACAATATTGACCTTGACAGTTTTGAATCAATGAATTACAAATCAGCTTTCTATCAATAGTAATCATGGTAATTTTGAAAAGGCTGTAATGATAGGATTTCGTTTTCTTCTCATGGTCAACAAGATGTTGAGAAAGCAATGGGTTTAAAATAGATAATGTGGAGAGGTGGGGGAAGGAACAGGTGAGCCTAATCACCAACCTATCATCAGAGGGTCTTGGTACTGGCAAGACAGACCGACTCCAGGGAGATGCGAGTTGTCTATAATTATGTTTATGTTTGTGTTTCCTTCTCCTAACTTACACCTTGTTCCCCTTGTGCTTTGGGTATCCAGGAGTAATACCTTCTTCCAGGCACTCGGGGACATTTCATGGGTTTATGAGCAGCCCTGATCACTATGTAATCCACGGAGTTAGGAAAGATCAACGTGTTTGCTCCATATTGGAGGATCCAGATGGCCTCAGAGGAGATAAAAATCTTTCAAGACTACTTAAAAATTCCTTTAGGATTTCCCTGGGGGGTCAGCCTAGAGGTCTGCCCTCCCCTGTAGTCTTTTGAGTGTAAGCTCAAATAAACCTTGCATGGTGTAACCACACCCAGTGCTCTCTGGCCAATTCTTTCTCTAGAGGGCAAAGGACTCAGTCTTCTGGGCCTGGGTCTGTAACAGGTTCACTGGCACTCTGCATGAAAAATGTGTCTTACTTACTACCAAACACTGATTTCCAGAAAGCCACCCCCACTTCCCAACCACCCAAACAGATATTTTTTCCTAGTCTTCTAGATCAGATTCTGTTTCCTGAATTACTTACGTGATTTAAAATGTAAAAACAAATCTATCGCAGCACCTTTGGCGCTTGGCTTTCAGAAATGGGGGTTGCTTTACAGGTTTGCAGAACGTTATTTTAGTGGTAATCCACTTCTTTGTTACTCAGGTGAGGGAAAAGATCTTAAGAGTCTCTTGTAAACTACATAAAAGGAAAATCATCTAGAAAACCATCTGCTCTAAACCGGCAGGCAAAGATAAAGATCTGTTTTTTCGACCCTCACCTTTTCCTCCCTTATCACCAAAGACAGTGAGTGAGCAGACATCTCTAAGGCTGCTGCACCCCTAGTCTGAACCAGAAACAGATTCACAGGTCACAGCCAGAGTCCCGCCCTGCCAGCGGGAGCCACAGCTTCCTGCCTTCCTCACAAGGTGAAACTAACCCGTAGGGGCTGGTGGGCGCTCAGAGACCGCATAGGCAGAGGCGGCTGATCGCCGCACCCACAGGAAGGAAGTGAACAGCCAGCCGGGCTGGTTTTCTTCCCGCAGAGCAAGCCCGGGACTAGACGCCGCCAGTGGACTACCGGCGCGCGCGGGGTCATGGGCACACGCACCGGGCGTGCACACCGGCCGGTGCGGGTGCGCGCTCACACTCACGCGCGCGCCTACTCACCAGCAACCCCTGAAGTCCGGAGTCCGCGTGGGACGGCGACCGCAGCAGCTGTCCCCGTGCCTGGCGTGGGGCCTTGGCATCCGTCTGGCCGCAGGAGCCCGGGTCGCGGAGGCTTTTGCTGGAAGGCACTGCAGCGGGGCGTTGTGATACAGAACTAGGAGACACCGGCTCTCCCGCCTGGCCGGGCCTCCTCCCCCTCTTCCTCTGAGGACCGATGGGGCTTTGCTATCAATAGTTCCACTCCCGCGGGCTCGGTGCGTCGCGCTCTTCTTCCTCCCTTCTGGTTCGTTGCGGCGGCTCGCCACACCCGGAGGCTAGGAGCGACCTCGCAAACTCACGCGCAGACGGTCTGATACCCGCCAGCAGCAGTCCCTGCAGCCATCGCTGCAGGAAAAGAAATTGTCACTGCGATGGTCTCGGCCTCCCCTGCCCCGGCCCCTGGTGCCGCCTCCGCCTCTGCCTCCGCCCCCTCCTTCGCCGCTGCGGCTTCCCGCATTCTGCAGAAAAAGCTCGCAGGTGGAAACAGGTCCCTGGAGATGGCCAGGCGGGAGAGTGAAACTACTGGGTGCGAATTTCTCTTTTGAAATCCTGCCCGTCCCCTCCTCAGCCTGGAACCAGCTGGCCTCGCATTTTGCTCCACCTTCAGTCTCACGGAGTTGAACAGAAGCGGGTACCTAGTCTGAAAGCAGTGCACACATCCCATGATGCAGCTGGACTTGACCGCGCAACTAGGTTTGGAGTAGTGAGAACCTAGGTTTGGGTGAAATCCCCACTTACACCTGGTTTTAGGAGTTCCACGCCGAGGTTTGTCCTTAACCTACACCCATCATGAAACACTAGTCTTCCCCTCCCCACTTCGTGTACTGGGGCAAATGCAAACTATTATGACGCCTTCTGGATTTTATTATAATTATCATTTGCTGTGGGGTTTTGTGTGTGTGTGTATGGTCCTCTGGCTCTGGGCCAGTCACTCTGTACATGAAGTCTTATGTCACACCTACCACAGCCTTATAAAAGATATTCTTATTTTTCCTGTGTCTGGAACACAGAGAAGTAAAATGATTTGACTCAGATTATCCAACCCAAAAGTGGTAGAACTGTGGTTTAAATTCTGATCTGACACCAAAGCTGTTTCTACTTCTTAGGCAGATCCTACACACAATTTACTAAACACAACTTACTACATACAACTTACAATCACTGCTGTGGCTATATTAAAATAAACAAACAAACAAACAGGTCTTTTTCCTGAGTTAGGTTGGGAGGTTACTTGCCAGAAATGACCGCAGAGAGGAGTAGTGAAACAAAGGAGTAAATTTCCTAATCTGTTTATCCTAGTGAGACCAAGTTTCTAGTCTTGGCTCTTCCATTAACTGCCCTCTTAGCCCTCCTCACTGTGTTTTAGTTTTTGGTTTTTTTTTTTTTTTTTTTTTAAGTAAAGACACTTGCCTAAGGCAACCTGAATTCTGTTTTTTAAAGAAGTAATGTTACAGGGCACCCCAATGTGAATTGGGTTGCCTGTCTGTGGGTTCTGCCATCCGCCGCAACAACACAAAACATATAAAACTTTAATGAAAAGGGACTTTAATACAGTAGATATACAATATGGAACACAAAGAATATAACTTCTAAATCAAACACCTGAAGCTACCCATCCCCAAAAGGGATGAAAGCCTGCCACAAGACTAAAGCACCTTCTGGCCAGGACCCATGGAAAAGGGTCAGAAATGGCCAGACAAATCTGGGAGGAAAAGAGCAAAATCAAAATCAATATAAACACTGCCATAGTCACCTCCCTCTAGGTATCTCACCCACATCTGCCTTAACCAGTCCAGGGTCAGGAAACAAGCACGGTTTCTTCATCACATGCTTGTGCTCTGTTTGGCTTCCTCAGGTCTCCTGTCTCTTCACCCTGCTTCATTTCCTTCCCAAGCTCCTTTTTCCTCTGCTCAGCTCCACCCTCCTTCTGGGTGGGGCAGGGAACCTGGAACTTCCCCTTTTCCTAGGGACTACCCTGTTACATTACCACCACTCCTACAGTCTTGGCCCCACTGAAAATTGAGGACACAATAGACATACGGTTTTACAGATTTCTGCTAGATAACTCATGAGCTACTAGGCAGACTCAAATTCTGTGATAATTAAGTTCAACCAGATCCCTAAAAAGAATCATGAAACAAAGCTTTCCATATAAATCTATACTGTTTATTGTTGGTCTTGCTGCCTGGAAGACAAACTTTCATGAAGAACAAAATGGCCCAACACTTACCTCCATCTCCAGGGAATTAGGACACCGTTTTATGACTGAAGTTCAGGCAATCGGAGGCTTTTATACTGGTCTTTAAATCCGAAGTCCATGATTCAAAGCCTGAGATACTTCAGATATGATTTCATGACCTGTGTCCACAAACAGCAGAGGAAGGGGACAGGTGTGTTGTGTGGTGTGATTTGGTCTGATCATTCTGTTCCATGCTACTCTGCTGGTTTAATGTGCCGGGCCCTCCAAACTTCTTGTCTGTTTAATATGCCAGTCCATGTCCTTTCAGGAAATTTCTCTTCTGATTAAGTTGTCCAGAATTGGTGTTAGTGCTTATCACCAAGACCTTGGATACAGTGACTTTTTGAATAATCCAAAGCCTGCTTCCCTTTCATTGACTGAATTAATGAAAAGTGGACCTAAGTGTATTATATAACTTAGGGCATTTTAAAGTTTGTATAACTTTACTTGCATTTTAAAGATTCAATTCAATGTTAATATAACATGCACATTTTAAAAAGGATGAGTGTTTTGCCCTTAGCAATTATAGTAGCAAGCATAGCTTTAAAATAAACATGGCCCTCAGTAACTCTCAGGATGAATGAAATGAGCCTCCTGATGGTGGGATAATTCTGATTCATTTCTGGAAAAGGAATTTGTCTGATATTAACAGAAGCTGTGAAAGTATTTATCCCTTCCCCCAAGTAATTCTATTTCTAGGAAGCAATTAAGGAAATCTGAAGTGCGAAGAGAAATATCTCCCTTATGGTATTTTTCACCAAATATAGACATTAAAACTATCTCCTTGATAGGTGATTATTAACATCAAAGCTGCTTATGTGCAGTGTTAGGCAACAAGGATACAAAATTGTACATGCATATATTTGTATGAAAGTAAAAATACAAGAAAAAATCTAGAATTTATTAAAATTCCCACCTAGAGATTACATATGGACAATTATAATTGCCTTCTTTGTATTTTACTATAATTTTAATTTTCTGTGATGGGAATGTCTTCCTATTATTTTAAGAATAAAGAAATATTTAACAATTTAAATGAAACATAATTGGTAGCTAGAAAAAATATGAGGTTTAATCTATCATAGTACCTCATTAATAATAGGTACATGATAATATTTGAAGGAAGAATAAAGAAAGAAAAAAGAAGGGAGGTCACACTATTTCACAGGGTAATGAACTCAGGGATTGTAACTGCCCTGTCATTTCCATGGTTGATGACATATTAGAGATAGGACATTACAATCTAAATTGTTTTATTAAGTAATACTGCACTTGAGTCTTTCCCAATTGTTGACAGGTGACACAATATTAATATATTTCTCTCTGGATGAGTAACATGGAACCAACAGTCAATGTTTTTTTTTTTCCTCTCCCAATACATCAGAGAGAAATATATTCTGAGAAGTTGGAAGACCCCCATTGTATTGCTACTCAAAAGAAAAGGGGCTTCTTCTTGCCTCTGACTCACCATTAAAGGACAGCCCTGTCCCTGCCCTCACTAACCCCTCCCCCACCAATATGTCCAGACAGGTCTTCTAAAGACCTGTCATTTGGCATGTTGATTATTTTGAGCTAAGGTCAATCAAGGTCCTGTGATAACACAAGCGAAACTATACCACTCCCTTAACTATCTAGTAGAATGAAAATAGAGATATTACCCAGAATTCTCAGAGAAACCTATTTCTACAACAGGGTAAGCATTTAATTATAGACTAACTGGTCTTGGTTATATGAGTCAGCCTCTCCTTGTCATGTGAGTCCCCTTTCTCTCCTTGAAGTCCCAGTTGTCTCTCCTATACCTGTGCTCAAAATATGTACTCTCATTGGCCCTACTGGTGTTAGACTCAACACCAATAAATTGCTCCTATGCACATAATTAAAGGTATCTTTTTTCCCTACAAATCTGTGTGGCATTAACTTGATGACTCTGTCAACCCAATAAGAAACCAAAAGGGTTGGGAGAAACTTCCTCTCCTCCCCAACAATACCACAAGGTGATCACTTAACGTGCGTGCCCAAAATCCAGGAATATCTCTAATTTTCCCATCTATTGATGGGAATTTTATTTATTGGACTGAATGTACAAAGAGAAAGTATTTATAGTTGAATTTAAAATATCAGGAAATCAATATTACATCTATGACTCCTGTATTTGTTTGGTATTTGCACATACATTGATGGCCCTTGGCCCATAACCACTCTTTCTGATGTCCTTATTAAGACCAGATGAACTAGAGCTCTAATTCTTTGTTTCACATACTTAGAATTTCCTGTCTGGATTCTCTTTTAAGTCAAAATCTCCAGGGAAAGACAAGAGCGAGAATACCCAACTGATTCTATTGGAAGGATTATGAAGATTGTGTAACTAAAAAGTATGTGCCCCAGAAATTATTCTAGTCTTAAAACTATGTGTTTTTAATGTTTTCAAACATAAAACATCTTAGATTTAATTTCAATCCTTATTTTTTAATTTATTTTATTAGTTTTTTGCTATAACATTGTTTGTGTACTAGAAGTACAGGCTTTCGCCACTAGAAGTACAGGCTTTCACCACACCACACCCATCATAAAGACACCCATAGTCTGCCTCCATAGTCCATAGTGCACCCACCCCTCTCACTCTTGCCCCTCCCTCAGTTTTTTATTTTATTTTATTTTATTTTAAGATTTATTTATTTGTGCATACAGAACTGGGGTGCAGGCCAGAGGTGCAGGGTCGGGGATAGGCTTCACCAGAGACAGAGCGAGGAGCAGAACAGGCAGATCTACGAAGTACACTGCTGAGGAGAGCAGC